GAATTTTAAAAATGAAAAAAGGTTCCTTCCAATTTCTCCTTCATTCTGCTGAGTGGCTTTTCTCCGGGTTCGCTTCTAGCCCTAGATTGAAGGAAAAACCGCTAAATCTGGTTTTTGAGATTAGTAATCTTTCTCTATTTCTTTCAAAAATGGGGTTTTTATTCGTCTAGGGGAAACACAAATTTAGTGTCTTTGAATAAACCCGTGTTGAATTGAGACATCTGTGTTGATTTGATTGGATTTTTGTTGAGTCCATCGATCTTCAAGATCGTGTCAAGCTTGAGCTTTTACTTGTTGGGAGGTTTTGGGTCTTTCTCTTTGCTAGATTTTGAGGTTATAAATCTTCGTTTTTGATGAACTGGCTACGTTTTAGATACGCCATTCTTCAGTTTTGAAGCACGAATTCGAGTGATTTTTGATTGTAGAAGGTAGTGATTTAAGCAGACCCTAACAATGAAGAGAGTAAAAAGCGAATCTTTTAGAGTTGTTTATAGTTCCAGGAGGTTCAAGTTGTCACATTTGTTACTTGCTATTGCAGGGGTTTACTTGGTTTTTCTAGCGTTTAAGTTCCCACATTTCGTTGAGATGGTCGCTATGTTAAGTGGAGATACTGGTTTAGATGGGGCATTAAGAGATACGGCAGATGTTAGTTTAAGCGGATCGTTGCGTAATGACATGTTATCTAGGAAGCTAGAAGATGAAGAGAATCAAAATGGACCTTCTACTACTCAGAAGGGGCCACAAGAAGCGGAGTCTAATAAACCGATTCAGCCACTTCTGTTTCGGTATGGTCGAATATCGGGAGAGGTCATGAGACGTAGGAATAGAACTATTCATATGTCACCTTTTGAAAGAATGGCGGATGATGCTTGGATGCTTGGATCCAAGGCTTGGGAAGATGTCAATAAGTTTAAGATTGAAAACATCGAAGAGAGTTCTATTAACGAAGGAATGGTTGAATCATGTCCTTCTCAGATCTCTATGAATGGAGATGACTTGAATAAAGCTAATAGGATCATGTTGCTTCCATGTGGTCTTGCTGCAGGATCTTCTATTACAATTCTCGGAACTCCGCAGTACGCACATAAAGAATCTGTTCCTCATCGGGCGAGACTCTCAAGAGACGATGGAACGGTTTTGGTTTCGCAATTTATGGTTGAGTTGCAAGGGCTGAAGACGGGGGACGGGGAATATCCCCCTAAGATTCTTCATTTGAACCCTAGAATTAAAGGTGATTGGAGTCACCGGCCGGTCATTGAACACAATACATGTTATAGGATGCAGTGGGGGGTTGCTCAAAGATGTGATGGTACTCCATCCAAGAAGGACTTGGACATGCTTGGTAAGATTTGATCATTTATTACAGATTGCGTAGTTAGGTTTCTTTTTATTTTCTTGTACTTCATCAAAGTAAATGTATTTTTCCAGTTGATGGATTCCGAAGATGTGAAAAGTGGACAAAGAATGACATTGTTGACATGGTGGATTCAAAGGAAACCAAGACAACTTCTTGGTTCAAACGGTTTATAGGACGTGAACAGAAACCAGAAGTCACTTGGTCATTCCCTTTTGTGGAAGGCAGGGTCTTTGTCCTAACTTTGCGAGCTGGAATTGATGGATTCCATATTAATGTTGGAGGAAGGCATGTGACATCATTCCCTTATCGACCGGTATGTTATATCAGAGAGGAATTCTACATGTATATGCTTTATTAATTGGCCTCAACAGTATAGTTTGTTATATCAAACGAAGAATATTCCTCCTAAATGTGATTTCTGGTCTCTCAGGGATTCACCATAGAAGATGCCACAGGGTTGGCAATTACAGGAGATGTTGATATTCAATCTGTTTATGCTACTTCTCTTTCAACATCTCATCCGAGTTTCTCACCTCAGAAAGCAATAGAGTTTTCTTCAGAGTGGAAAGCTCCTCCATTGCCTGGCAATTCTTTTCGCCTCTTCATCGGTGTTCTCTCTGCAACTAACCATTTTTCAGAGCGCATGGCAGTGAGAAAGACATGGATGCAGCATCCTTCTATTAAGTCTTCAGATGTAGTAGCCCGATTCTTTGTTGCACTTGTAAGTTCTTACCTCCTTTCCTTGTTATAAAGCCTTTAGCATATTCGAGGGCAAAACAAAATCTGTAAGATATTAAGAACTGCAGATCGACTTTTTACGATGGGGATATACTGATTCAAAGTTCTTTAGCCTTGGATTACTGAGCGGTTTATGTTTTCTTATGTAATTTTGTATTGTAGAATCCAAGAAAGGAAGTTAATGCAATGCTGAAGAAAGAGGCGGAATATTTTGGAGATATTGTGATTCTGCCCTTTATGGATCGCTACGAGCTAGTTGTCCTTAAGACAATTGCTATTTGTGATTTTGGGGTATTGATAATTCCTGCTCTCATGACTCCATATCTGTGTAAAACAGTTTATACATTCTCTGATAACAGTTTCTCACATTGTTGTTTACAAAAATCTGATTATGGTAGTCATAATATTTTCCTTTCAGGTCCACAATGTGACAGCTCCATATATAATGAAATGTGATGATGACACATTCCTCAGAGTAGAATCAATCTTGAGAGAAATTGATGGAGTCTCTCCAGAAAAGTCCCTTTATATGGGAAATCTAAATCTTCGACATCGTCCTCTGAGAACTGGCAAGTGGGCGGTTACATGGGAGGTACAATGGCTTGAGTTCTTTCCCCGTATACACTCTTGTATGATTTAGAAATCAGAAACTGCCTCAGATACTAAATCTTCTTAGTTATTATTGTAACAGGAGTGGCCAGAAGCTGTGTATCCTCCTTATGCCAATGGACCCGGATACATAATCTCAAGCAACATTGCAAAATATATTGTTTCTCAGAACTCAAGACAAAAGCTCAGGGTCTGACCCTCTTCTCAATTTCTTACTTTCATCTCCATCTCTTACTGTCATGAAAATATGAGTATCTCTTGAAATTGTGAATTGACTTCGAGACATTGTTATCACAGCTGTTCAAGATGGAAGATGTGAGCATGGGAATGTGGGTTGAGCAGTTCAACACCTCGATGCAGCCTGTAGAGTACTCGCACAGTTGGAAATTTTGCCAATATGGGTGCACACTGAACTATTACACTGCACATTACCAATCTCCGAGTCAGATGATCTGCTTGTGGGATAATTTGTTGAAAGGCCGTGCACAATGCTGCAATTTCAGATGACCAAAACTTAGCACTAGCCAGGAGAGATTGCAGGATCACAGATCTGGCATCACATAAACGTTTTTCCTTTATATTATTCCTCTTTGGTGCTAGTGTTTACGCTGACACATTCAAGATAGCAATCTCTTGTTGTACATTGGTGTCCATTGATAATATTAGGATATAATTTCAGAAAGCAATTTACACTGATATCTAAGCAAATTCTTTCTAAAAGTCTTTGACAAAGATCACTGTATTACTACTCTGCTCCTCTTTATGTTTATAGATTGAGTCGTGGATATCTGACAATTTGGCTTTCATCAAGTCGCATTCCCCTGATCATCTATTGTGTCGCTTTTCCGAAAAGTTCCCAGCTCTTTTGCTGTCCAGGTGAGAAACTGGAGGAGGGCATTCACAAGATCCAGGTAATGCTTAATTATCTCGTCCTTTTTGCAGTGTTCTGCTATAATTCTCATCCTGGGGATGTCACATGACCATAGAGATAAAAAAACTGGTTATTTAGCAAACAGAATAACGAACTCATGACTGATGGTATATACAGAACATGTTAGCATCAATCTTAAGAATGTGCAGGTCATTTCAATTAGCAGAGACAAATTGGACTGCAGAAAACTCAAAACACCAAAATGTCACGCAAAGACTTCCAACTGATCTTTTCATGATTAGATGGATGCAGCCAACTACAGTTTTTTTATTTACCACCATGTTTAATCCTCACGCCAAAACCTCAAGGCCGTGAAGTTCTGATACACGGTGGGTGAATCAATCAAGAAGACCAAAGAGATATGCAGATGAAAAACAGAGTCAAAGGAGTGTAAAAATGTCAACTTTTTGAGTCTAAGAAGCAGAAATCAGAGTAATGAGAAGAATCTTACCCCAAAAAAGACTAGTCTTGATCTGAAGAACAATGAATCGGTATTCAAAACCCTTCCTCTCACTCGTTCATAACTCTTTTTGGGGTTGATTCATCTTCCAAGGAAGCATCTTTCTTCGGACAGAGAATGGCGGCGACTGTCGGAAGTTTGTTTCGAAGAAATTGAGACAAAAGAAAATTAGGGTTCTGGGTAAAGTTATCATCTTTCGAAGTCTTTTATAATACTATAATGATAATGGGGTCACCTCGATACTAATGCAATTGACGACAATGCCCACAAGAAACAGAGCAAAATGCCTCCATGTTCAGAAACCTCTGTTCTGCTACTTCCCATGGTCGAGAAATGCATAAATCTCTTACAAACTCACGGCGTTTCATCGCTAACGAAACTCAGACAAATCCACGCTTTCTCAATCCGACATGGCGTCTCAATCACCGACGCAGAGATGGGTAAACACCTCATCTTCTACCTCGTGTCTCTTCCTTGTCCACCTCCAATGTCTTACGCACACAAGGTCTTCTCCAAGATCGAGAAACCCATCAATGTCTTTATTTGGAACACATTGATCAGAGGCTACGCTGAGATTGGTAGTGATTCCGTCTCTTCTGCTGTTTCTCTCTACCGTGAAATGCGAGTCTCTGGTTTTGTCGAGCCAGATACTCATACTTACCCGTTTCTTCTTAAAGCTGTGTCGAAAATGGCGGATGTTCGATTGGGAGAGATGATTCATTCCGTTGTTATAAGAAGTGGGTTTGGTTCGTTGATATTTGCTCAGAACTCTCTGCTACATTTATACGCTAATTGTGGAGATGTATCTAGTGCGTACAAGGTGTTTGATAAAATGCCTAAGAAGGACCGTGTTGCTTGGAACTCTGTGATTAATGGGTTTGTGGAAAATGGTAAGCCGAATGAAGCTTTGAAGCTTTATACTGAGATGGATTCGAAAGGTATTAGGCCTGATTCGTTTACGATCGTGAGCTTGTTGTCTGCTTGTGCTAAGATTGGTGCTTTGACATTGGGTAAGAGAGTCCATGTATATATGATCAAGGTTGGTTTTACGCGAAACTTGCATTCCAGCAATGTACTCTTGGACTTTTACGCGAGATGTGGAAGAGTCGAAGAAGCGAGAACGCTTTTTGATGAAATGGTGGACAAGAACAGTGTCTCGTGGACTTCTTTGATAGTCGGTTTAGCTGTTAATGGTTTTGGAAAAGAAGCGATTGAGCTTTTCAAAGAGATGGAATCAAAGGAGGGGTTATCACCGTGTGAGATCACGTTTGTGGGGATCTTATACGCTTGTAGCCATTGCGGGATGGTGAAGGAAGGTTTCGAGTATTTCAGGAGAATGAAAGAAGAGTATAAGATCGAGCCTAGGATCGAACATTTTGGCTGTATGGTCGATTTGTTAGCTAGAGCTGGACAAGTGAAGAAAGCTTATGAATACATCCAGAAAATGCCGATGCAGCCGAATGTTGTTATCTGGAGGACATTGTTAGGAGCTTGCATTGTTCATGGTGATTCAGATTTAGCAGAGTATGCCAGACTCCAAATCTTACAACTAGAACCAAACCACAGCGGCGATTATGTCCTCTTGTCGAATATGTATGCATCCGAGCAGCGTTGGTCCGATGTGCAGAAGATAAGGAGACAAATGTTAAGAGACGGTGTGAGAAAAGTCCCCGGTCACAGCCTTGTAGAAGTAGGAAACAGAGTTCATGAGTTTCTTATGGGTGATAAATCTCATCCACAAAGCGATGAGATTTACGCTAAGCTGAAAGAAATGACTGATAGATTAAGATTGGAAGGTTACGTGCCGCAAATTTCAAACGTTTATGTCGATGTCGAGGAAGAAGAGAAAGAGAACGCTTTGGTATATCACAGTGAGAAGATTGCTATTGCGTTTATGCTTATTAGTACACCAGAAAGATCGTCGATTAGAGTCGTGAAGAATCTTAGAATTTGTGCAGATTGTCATTCTGCTATTAAACTCGTGTCTAAGGTTTATGATCGAGAGATTGTTGTCAGAGATCGTAGCAGGTTTCACCATTTCAAAAATGGTTCTTGTTCTTGTCAAGATTACTGGTAATGCAG